TTAAAGCCACTAAATACCTTACCTGTATTAGATACTTCTTTTAAGATGTTGCTGATGTTTTGTTTTCCTTTTAAAAGTCAATGAGGTACAATATGGAAAAAGAAAACTAAGTACTCCACCTTTGTGGTAGTAACAAAAACAATTTGCAAAAGTGACACCAGCTTTAAGTTGGAGTGGAAACACTTAAAAATCAGTGACTGTTTGCCTAGTATGCATGAGGAACCGGGTTCAATCTCCAGCACTACAAAAATAAGTCAGCTAGTCTTGCAGGTAACTAAGCTATTGTAGGCATCAATCCAGTTCTGAAATTCATAGAAAGTACATGTTCTGGCAAGGAAAATATTCTTAAAGTGTACTTTGGTTTAAAACACTTCAGTGTACATGGCCAATGATGATGGAAACTCCTCTTGCTCTTTGAAACCTCACCCAGCACAGTTAACTTTTTGGTCTTTTTGAGACAGGATCTCCTGTCTCCCTGTAGCCCCAGCTGTCCTGGAACTATGTAGACCAGGATGGCCTTGAACTCACAGAGATGCGCCTGCCTCTGCTTCCCAAGTGCTGGGATTAAAGGCATGCACCATCACACCTGGCAACTTTCTGTTTCTTAAACAAGTCTCAGCAAACTGCACACTTTCAGACCAAGGGTACTTCCCAAGTAAACTAGAAATACACATTTCCTCGGTCATGTAACAGCAAGAAATGGGGGTGTAAAGTGCTGTTTAACTGTCTGGTGTTTGGAATATAGCAGAGCTGAGTCACATAAAACATGAACACCAACAGAACCAGCATCTACCTTGCAACAGAACTAGAACCAGAATCGGGAATTTGGTTGGATTTTTTTTTTTTTTAAACTCCTGATGTGCTTCAGAAAATGCTATCTGTCCTAAATTGAATGTAATTCAAGGAGTGACCACAGCTGTGAAGACACTATAAAACATGAGAGCTATACAAAGGTGTATCGATTCTTCTAATCATTAAAATGGAAAAGCTAAAGCTGTAATACTGTACTCTGAATTTACTGATTTGGAAATTTAAAGTGTTTCTGAAAAATTATAATTTCCAGATTCCAAGCCCAAACCTCTTCATGTAATAGGAAAAAGAGGGAACAATAGTAAATGAATTTGGAGATATGCTGTTTGAACTTTTAACCATGTGTATTGGAGGCCCATCCCAGCTAGCCTGGAACTATTAGACTAGGCTGGCTTCAATCTCACAGACATCTACCTACCCCTGCCTCCTGAGTGCTGAGATCAAAGGCATGTGCCACCACACCTGGACAGTCCCTTTCCTTTTTAAAAGGGAACCACAACTTTGAATGCTATGTGAAATCTCCTCTTCTGCATTTTAAGTTGAACAATAGTCCATGAATAGGCTTACCAAGAGATGAGAATAAAAGTCCAGACTTCTTGACAAGGAAAGGGATTGGATATGTCAGGAAGAAAAGGTGCCTTTACCTAATTCTCACAAATGCTCTTTGTAGTCCATGGTGACCCTGCATTTTTGCTACATCTGGATTATGTGACATTGGGGCTATAATAAAATCTGCATGCCATAGCCAGGTATTTATAAACACGGCCTTGTTTTCATAACCTAAGCTGCTCATCTGCTAGGCCTTTTTATTCTTCTGGCAATATACTCACATTTCCTTTGTTGTTCTAGAGGTGCTAGGGGTAAAACCCAGGGCCTCATGCATGCTAGGGCAAGTGCACTACTCCTGAGCTACAGTCCTAACTCCCTCTTTTTGAGACCAGAGTCTGAGTACTCATGCATGCCTTGAACTCATGATCCTCCTACCCCTGCCTCTTGAGCAGCTGGAATTACAGGCTTGACACTGGGCAAGGATAGCTTTCTTATTTTGCATAGTAATTTATCTGTGAACAGTTTTAATGGTGCTACGTGTTTATGTTAACATGCACAGTGCTAAGTATGCAATACACATTATGAATATATTCAACTGATCCGTAAGATTTAGAACCAAATATTTAAGGGACATAACATTTATAGTTTTTCTTTTTGTTATTAAGCTTGCATTCATGAATTTTTGTTACTAATTTTGCACACATAGTGTTCTTTAAAAACAACTATTCCAAAATTTTAGAGGTGTTATCTGTAAGGGTTACAAGCATAATACATAATTTTGGAACTAATCATCTCTTTTTATGTAGATGAAAACTTCTACAATATGCTTTTCCCAGGACCTTCTTCCTGGTCTAAAACTTGTCATCACACACACACACACACACACACACACACACACACACACACACACACACACACACAAACACAGTACTGGTCTGGGAATTACGTTTCTAATACAAGTCCTCTTACAACCTTAGCTATGTAGCTGTTTTCTAAGGCTCTAATTCCTAAGAAAACTGCTTCAAGTAAAATGCTTACAACATAAATAGCCATTGGATGAAGAGGTGGTATAAGACTTTTTAAAAATTGAAAAAAATGTCAAAGTGCAAAGTGAAAGTTCCCAGTTGAATTTCACTGCATAGTCAGAGCACACAGGAGACACCACATGACACAGCTGTTCTCTACGAACTCTAGCTACACGGATGCATTCTGTCGCTGTGCTGCTCCACTGGCACTTTCTCAAAATTCTGTGCTACTAGTAGAAACCGGAGCTGGGAGATGGTTAGAAATACTGTGTTCATGGCAAAATCTTAACTTCTCCTGCTAAAATAAAAATCCAGGGCCCACCGGGCATGGTGGTGCACACCTGTAGTCCCAGCACTTAGGAGGCAGAGGCAGGCGGATCTCTGCAAGTTAAACAGTAATACAAAACCTCCCAACTAAAAAAAGCCCAGGACCACATGGATTTACAGCAGAATTCTACCAAACATTTAAAGAAAAAAAAAATCCGGGGCTGGAGAGACAGCTCAGCAGTTAAGAGCACTGACTGCTCTTGCAGAGGCCCTGGGTTTGGTTCCCAACACCCACATGGCAGCTAACAACCGTCTGTAGCTCCAGCTCCAGTGGATCCGACGCCCTCTTCTGACTTCTGTGGGCCCTGCATGACATGGGTGCACTTACCTACATACAGGCAACACACTCATACACATAAAATGATAAAATATTTTAAAAATACAGTAAAGATCCATTCTGTTTCATCAGGAAGGTGGGCACAAAGAGAAAACCAAAAGGAAGTATCATCAAATGTTAATAAAAGCCTGATTACTACCTATTCATTCTGCAACCACTTTCAAACTGTTTTTCTTAATAGTCATAGGATTTTACAGCCAAAAAGTATATATAACTTTTACCTTAATAAGCAGAGTACTCAAAGACAATGAAGTAGAATTGAAAAGCTTTAAAGCAGATGTAATAAAGATGAAAATGAATACATCAGTGCTTTAACTGTACCTGTTGACTTCTCTTGATTAATGAGAGGGGCCAAGGCTGCCACCCGGTGGCAGCATTAGTCTTCCAAGTGATTTTAAGGTTAAATTTTAAACAATGAAGGAAAAAAAAAAAACCACATAAAAATTATACTTCAGTTTTACCAGCTCTAATTTTGATATATTAAATGTTTATAACAGCAAATAACGGAAATATTCTGGGGACACCCAAAAAAAAATTTTTTTTTCAGACTTTTTGAGACATGGCCTGGCCTGGAATTCACTATGTAAACCAGGCTGGCCTCTATTTCAGAGATCCACCTGCCTCTGCCTCAAGTGCTGGGGTAAGGCGTGTGCCACCATGCCTAGCTTAACTTTCATTTTTAGTATTTATTTTTACTGTTTTTTCAGACGGTCTCCCTGTAGCCCCAGCTGGCTTAGTACTCATTAGAGTGGGTGGTAGTACTCAGGAGAGTAGACTGGGCTGATCTCAATCTCATAGAGATCTCCCTGTCTCTGTCTCCTGAGTCCTGTAATTACAAGCATGTACCACCATGCACGGCTAGATTTGTTTTTATTTTGTGTTTTGCCTGCAGGTATTTAAGTGTACCCATGCCATGCAGTGCCAACACAGGTCAGAAGAGGACGTTGGATCCCCTGGAACTGGAGTTACAGGTGTTTGTTGGCTGCCATGTGGATGCTGGGAACCAAGCTCGGGTCCTCTGCAAGAGCAGCCAGTGCTCTTAAGCTCTGAGCCATCCCTCCAACCCCTTAACTCTACTAAGTTATATGTTCTAATAGTATCAATGGTTACTTTCTTTAAATTTAATCGGAATGAGGAGAAAAGGTGTAGCTATAAAGTACAATTGGCTTTTCCCATAATCTACAGAAGATCCTGTACTTCAGTCTCTTATTCATACACTCCTAGTTGGAAAACAAGAATATTTAAAATACAGTTTTACCTAAATATGAGCATATTTTAGTGCCACAGCTAACAAAACTAATCTTAAAGGGGCTAGGGATGTCATTCAATGGTAGAGCACCTGTTTCTCAAATGTGTGAAGCCCTGGGGTTAATTTCCAACATCATAAAAAAAGTTTTCAATAAACTCGATCAGGTATTTGAGGCTGAGATAGCACTACAAAGTCCTGCATTTGATACCCAGCACCACACACAGAGGAAAAGAAAAGAAGGTTCATGGGGACACTGAAAGGAGGAAATAGAAAAAGAAAGGACTACCCCTCACAACTGTTAATGCTGCCTAGAAAAAAGCTTTACACATCTCATTAGTCTACTACTATTTTCCCCAACTTGGCCATAACCTGTCACACATTGGCATAAATATAATATGATCTAATATAACATACCCTGGTCACACTAGGAGAGAAGAACAGGACTAGAACATCCATTTCATTCTTAAAGCTATGTCAGGGACTGCTTTGTTCTCTTGAATAACCAAGTGAAAGGGAAAAAAGCACTTCCAAAGTTCTTAAGACTAGTGATTTTTGTTCACAGTTGTATATTAAGATTTTCTGTTTTTTGAACTATCCAATCTGTTTTGTAGTATACTAAAAACAATGAATGGATTTTTAAAAATATGGCACACACACTATGCTCGATATTTACAATGGCTTGTAACAGATACATATCTGAAAATAATTTCTAATTTTCTGTTTATTATTGCTATTTAGTCACAGAAAAGATTAACCTTTACAAGAAATGTATTTAGCATATGCCACATATAGGTATTTTTATATGAAGAGAAACTATGGTAAAACTAATAGGATGCCTTTGTGAGAAAACAAAGGAAAGGTAATAAAGGAATTCTTCCATATAAAGATTTTTGATTGACATTTTTTTTTCAAAATAAAAAACCTTAATTATTAGAAGCAAAAAGAAAAACAGCAAAGAAGAAACAGTAAGGTAGAAGGAAGAGAGTCAAGAATTTTTCTATGCAGATACATTGCGTACATAGTATATATGTATGGGTTGAGTTATAACAAAAATACTTATGTATTATCTAGTCAATTCTCATACAGCATTAGAAACAGCAATTTCCAATCGAGCATGACCAGACCAACATTTTCTCAGTCTTCAATGACATGACAATTAAAGCTGTATAGCAGTAATTGCTGCTCAGCAGTATCAAGACAAATGCTTGACAAGATACAACTTTTCTCCTTGTTCACTTGTAAAAATTGGTGCCTTTTTGTAATGTTCTACAAGTTCTTCCATGGTGCTGAATTTTCGTTGCCCAATGCAGTAAACAGTCTCTTTTAGTTGGACTTTAAAATGCTTGTTTTTCCCTTGTGCTTTTAAGGATACTGAGAAATCATTTGGCTAAAAGAGAGAGAGAGAAAAGTAAACATTTTGAAAGCCATGTACCAGCGTTAAATTTAACATAACTATTAAAATTTTAGCATTTCCTAAATAACTAGGCAACATGCTAAGTTATTTACATAGATTATCTCCTTTATTGTTTATTCTCAAACCCTTTTTATGGTTGAGAAAACTGAGGCTCAGAGAATTTGCCCAATATCACTTCTCTGGCTAGAGATAGGATTCCGACCTATGTATCAAGAGTCTCTCAACATCCATAGTGCCCACAGCCCAATCAATACCCACAGAAAATCTTTAGTTTTCTGAGGCATAAGAGCTATCTTCTCTCCAGGCATACTACTGAAGAAACACAGGGCAAAAATCCGAGACATCCACTCCATCCCCTTTCAATTTAGAGCTAACAGTAACTGACTTAAACACAGTACTCTGAATTTTCCAAAAATAAAGGACACATAAAAAGCTACAAGCAATCAATGGATGCTGAAGGAGGGACAATCTATTTTCTCCAGGGACTATCTCCCTGCGAGGTTGTCTAATCCCAAATAGGCAGCCCTAAACACAGGTACACATGAGCACCAATATATGGATTCAGTGCATTATATATGTGTATTTATAAATGCATGTATTTATGTATATGTAACACCAATAATCAAAGCGAACAAGAAATTGAGAGGAAGTGGGGGTGGGGATCATGGGAAGTGTTGGAAAGGGACTGGAAGGGATGGAAATAATGCAAATCAATACTCATGTATGAAATTCTCAAAAATAAAGTTAAAAACAGCTAGGTGTGTCATAGCACACACCTTTAATCCCTCACAGGCAGAGGTAGAGGCAGGTGGATCTCTGTGAGAGGCCAGTCTAGTCTACATAGCAAGTTCCAGGCTAGCTGGGGCTACAGGCAGACTTGGTCTTACAAAACAAAAACAACTAAATGGAGAAATCTCTTCCTCCAATGAAGAACATTAAAATATGTGTTTGTTCTACTGGTTTTCTTACAGAAGACTTGGGTTTGAATCCTAGCACCCACGTGGCAGCTAACAACTGCCCGTAATGCCAGTCCCAGGGGATCAGACAGCCTCTTCTGACCCCCATGAGCATTGCACAACATGGGTGCACTTACCTACATGGAGGCAATACATGCATGCGTACACATAAAATAATAAAATTAAAATAAAATAAAATGTGTTTGTTCTTTTGGAGGTCAGAAGGAAATGTATAAGGTATGACTTGAATCTGTATTAACTATTCTGTTTGATTAAAATCTTCTAATGTTCTACTTAAAAAAAATAAGAGGACATCAAGTCAGGGGGAGGAGTAGCAAGATGGGAGTGGATGGGATGGGGTATATGATCATATTCATAATTTAAATATGAAAAAAATACATACAAAATTCTCAAAAAAATAAAATTATATATAAATGACACACAAGAAGTCACCTAAACGCTAATGAAAGTCACAAATTCTTTTTTTAAAAAATATTTTATTTATTATTTTTATTTTATGTGTTATGTGTGTATTGCTTGCATATAGGTAAGTGCACCCATGTTGTGCAATGCCTGCAGAGGACAGAAGAGACTGTTGGATCCCCTGGAACTGGAGTTACAGACAATTGTTAGCTGCCATGTTGGGTACTAAGATTCGAATCTGGGTCTTCTGCAAGAACAGTCAGTGTTCTTAACCGCTAAGCTATCTCTCCAGCCCCACAAACACAAATTCTTACAAGGGTACAAAAAGAACTCTAAATAGGTGTCAAGATAGATGGACAGAAGGAAAGATTATATGGCCGGCCTAAAGAAAACTGACACTTGTCATCTGTGATTGCTGCCTTGCAGGAACAGACTCAATGTGAATTGGGTCTTTCAATTTTAAAGGCAAATGTGAAGTCTGAATTTTTAGAAAGATTTCTTTTTAAATTTATTATTTTTAATTTTGTGTGTCTTTGTGTGTGCACAAATGAGTACAGGTGCCCATGGAGGCCAGAGGCATTGGATCCCCTGGGGCTGGGGTTAGTTATAGGGGGCTGTGAGCCACATAGTATGACAGCTGGGAACTGAATTTGAGTCCTCTGCAAGAGCAGTATGTGTAATTGCTGAGCCATCCCTACAGCTCTAAAGTCTGGATTTTCATAATAAATCTTTTATTACTTAAATACTAGCAATGAATTCATTTTTTTTTAATTGTGTAGGCCATACAAAAAAAACATCTATTCAAGACCTCTCACTGAAAATTTATACTGCTAAAATAATGGCATGTTTTGGCTGGTATTTATATTCTATCCACACACACACACACACAAAGGCATTCTGTATTTAAGCTACCCTCTTCTTAATTAGGTGGCAGTAGTTGTAGCCAACCTACATTCTCAACGGTCTGTATCAACCTAAGAAGCCTTTTTCCATTCAGTACTTCAGACATTTTATTATTTATTTTTATTTTATGTGTATGAGTGTTATGCCTGAATGTGTGTAAGTGCACCTTTGTCATGCAGTGCCCGTGGAGGACAGAAGAGGGCGTTGGAACTGGAGTGATGGATGGTTGTTAGCCACCAGATGGGTGCTGGGATTCAAACCCAGGTCTTCCGCAAGAACAGACAGTGCTTTTAACAGCTGAGCCATCTCTCCATTCCCATCACTACTTCAGACATTTGAAATGGTAGGCCACATCAGGATTCTAACAGAAAATGGATTCCACTACTCTTCCCTACTAACAACTACCTGCTCTTCTGAAAGATTTAAAGGCCCCATGTCCCCAGACTTCATACCAGGAAGTTGTCAGTCTCTCTCACTCACAGACCATTTTCTTTTTTTCAACCTTTTGTACAAATACATAATCATTCTTGTACAACACAGTCACAAAAGGCCAATAGTAATCAAGATTTATAAGTAGAAAAATAGTGATATCATTTATCAGAAAAAATGAAATTTTTAAAGAAAATGAACACCATCAAATTTTAACATCCAAGGCAACATCTAAAAGGAACTAACAACTATTATTCTTCAACTTGTATCATTTCATTGTCTTGTTAGTACTGCAACATAATTTACCTTTTATTGCAAATGCATTTCAAACTGTTCAAATAAACTGAGATACATAATAAAAGGGTATTTTAATTCCCATTTATGAAGAAACTTAATTTTTTGTATTTAGAGATGTTCTATAAGGACTACAATGATTATTCTTGCGTATTACATCTAGTAGCAGTTTAAACTGCATCATTCTCAAGAAACCAATGCTCAGTTTTCCCCATTTTTTAGTTTAATTGCACAAAAAATATTTCAGAAATGCAAAATCAAAACAACCGAAGGAAGCTCAATAATACAACACATCTTCACTGCTACAGCCATCTTTCATTCAAAACTGACACACTGGAAAGAGCACTGATTATTTAGCTTCAGAATACTGAGTATCACTGCTTACAACTTGGTTAAATTTAAGGACACCATTTAACCTCTCCAATATTATTTTTAAATATCTAGAACTCTTATTTCCATTTACCTATGAAAACCAACTTACCGAAGATTCACTATCCCGAATTAGGAAATCCCCTTCATGCCCTCTTTCATTTAATGCCATTTCTGCTTGGTGTCTGGTGACTTTGCCATAATACCAAGGATTGCCAGCAAACTTTCCAGTGACTGAAGGCCTAATGTAATCACACTGTGGAGGTGATGGTTCCAAACCTGAGGTTAATGCATGATTCTGCATAATGGTAACATAGTTTTTTGGCACCAGGCCAACCATCCCATTGATTTTTCTGCATTTCCACCACTCTGGGTCATTTTCCGGCTTTTCAATAACATCCATTACATCACCTTTTTCAAAATTCAGTTCTTCATCATTGGATGAGTTGAACGGGTAAAGAGCCTGTACCACATGTAATACTTGACCTGTATTTAGGTTATTGACAACTGCTGCTAATTTCTCTGACAGAGAACCCACATGGTCACCCAAAGGACTGTCCCCTTCTTCAGTTACGTAGTTTGAAGGAAACCATCCAATTTGTCCATTGTAGCTACCACGCCACCATCCATCACTGCATTTCTCCATGACGATCACCTTGGTCCCTTTTATCAATGATAATTCATCCTCTCTTTCAGCCATGTAGTTGAATTTCACGAAGGCAGGCATGTTGAGGTCATAGAGACGTTCCCCTGGGTCAACAAAGCTATCATCAGCAGGAGATGCTGTATCTGGAACACTAGGTTTCCTTTTCACTTTTCCAATTCCTGTTTAAGTAAAAAGGAGGCAACAAGAACACAATTTCACCTCTGTATAGTTTCTCAAGCCTCTAAATGTTAACAAATTACAACATGATATTTTCGGGAATAAAATTCAATATTCTGCTATAACCAAATGCACTTAATTTATGTAATAGTTTATCATTTTTTTAAATAACTACATAAAGTTGTCACAACTGAATTTTCTCTTAAATGTTAATATAATTTCTCTCATAGCTACAACTAAGTACACACGCACTCCAGTAAACCCGCATTTGTCATCTTAGCTTCTTAACTTAAATTTCATTATTAGCTATATAAAAATAAAACAATTACTTAAATTAGAACCTGATATACAATATGAAATTATATCTGGGTTATCTCATTTGCTGTCTTCTTAGTTTCCAAAGCCAGGTCATTCCTGCTTATTTAAAAATGATGTGTTATTTACTCATTTATTTCCCTTCATCACAATTCACATACATCCTCAAGGGCAGAAATTTACTTTACTTTGCTCATAGATATAATCCCAAGGGCCTTACAGAGCACTTAGTACACAGTACATACTTAAGTATTTTTAATGAAATAAATAAGGAAATGGAACTATCATCACAAACGTATGCTATAAGTGCAACCAGGCACTTTGAGGGCTGCTCATTTCTTAGCTCATGATCTGATGCTTTACGTTACTTAGAAAACTGGAACTCTTCTGTCTTTAGAAAATTTTCATTATTCTTACTCTCTTTTTCACCCAAGGCCCCAAACTTAGGCCGAAAATTTATATATTTTCGTTTTATATGTATGAGTATTTTGTCTCCATGTAGGTGAGTGCACCACATTATGTGCAGTGTCTACAGAGGCCAGAAGAGGGCATCAGATCTCCTGGAACTGAGGTTATATACAATTGTTAGCCCCCATGTGGTGCTAGGAACAGAACATGGGTCCTCTGCAAGAGCAGCCAGTGTTCTTAACTGCTGAGCCATCATTACAGTCCATTATTCTAGGTTCTTAATGACCATCTTTACTGACTCTTTTGAGACTCTTTATCACCCCTCTCTTTATTCAGACTTAATAATTGTCCAAAAACATTCAAATCTCTTCTACACCAAAATAAAGTTAACTTTGCTATTCTATTATTTATTGTTTGCTTGCTTCTTTGTTTTTCTGGAATTTGCTATGTAGACCAGCCTGTCCTCAATCTCACAAAGATCACCTGCTTCTGCCTCCAGAGTGATGTGCCATCATGTTTTACATTTATTTCTTTACTTATTATATGAGAGTGTGTGTATGTTGAAGAGTCAGTTCTCTACTACCATGTGGGTCTTAGCACCTTAGCTGCAGTTGTCAGACTTGGTGGCAAACACCTTTACCATTGAGTCATCTCACCAGCCCTTGCTATTATTCTTTTAAAACTCTATCATTCTTTTAAACTTCTACTTATTTTTTCCAACTCTCTCTTGCACTCCTTTTCTAAAAAACTTTTTTTGGGAAAAGGTGGGATGAGATGTCTCAGCAGTTAAAAGCACTTACTGCTCTTGCAGAGGTGGTAGGTTCTGTCCCTAGCACCCATTATCAGGTGGCTCACAACCACCTGAAACTCGTTTCAGGGCCTCTGACTCCCCCTGGCCTTCCAGAGCCCCTCATATATGTGGTGGACATAAACTCATGCAAGCACATATATGTACCTAAGTAAGTTGTTTTTTAAAAAAGCTCTTTTTTATATTATCTATTTGTGACACACACCACAATATACATGTGGCAATCAGACTTACAGGAATCAGTTTTCCCTTTCCACCATGTGGGACCTGGGGATCAAACTCAAGTCATAAGGCTCGGTGGCAAGCACCTTATAATCCAATTCTCTATCATGATAGCAAAACTACTTGATTTTAAACTTTTCTTACAAAGTAAACTATAATTGGAATTCCAAGCTAGAGGCCTGATTTGAGGACAAATTATGTTGAGCCACTGGCCCCAGAAATTAAACAGAAAAGTAATGAAGGAAAAACAGAAAAGGATTTCAAGCAACATGGCTGTGTAGAGAATATGGGCATCATGAGTGCACTGGAAGCCTATTATTCAGGGAACTAGCATGAATTTTAAATTTAAACAGAGGAAGAAATGGAGCAAGGAATAGTATAAGCCATCTTAGTCAATTTGTGGTCTGTGTGGTCATATCTCAGAGATGGGTCTGAAAGGTTAGAAAAGTTCTTCTATGTGAAGGAACAATCTGGTTCTCATGAGATTAGTTTTGCTGGGGGAGGGGGCTCATGGTAGGAAGTCTTTGTGAAACTTCACTGTTCTTTAACAAGGTGACTGCAGTTTTAGGACAATGGCTGAAGACTTTCAGTCACTTTTTCAGGGATCTGGAATGGGATTACTGTAAAAGCTAACACTGTTAATAACTTAGCTGTTCTTTGTGCTTTAACCCTAAAGGGGAATGAGACACATTAGGTAACTTAAGGTTTTAGACAGACATTCCTTGAATGTCTGATATGTTCACTTGCAGAATTAAAGGAGCCAGATTCCAAATGAAGGCAGAAATGCCAGGTTTTATCCACTTTTGGTTACACTGTGGGCACAAGAGGCCAGTACTTTTTTAGCAGAAGCAGTTTCTAAGTACATGTTGTATCCTTTAACACCAAATTATTAGCATCCTCAGCGTTTTCATCTCATGTGGCAACCAGGAGGTCACAGGCCATGCCATGGTTTTCATGACTTCTTTGAGAGTCTTCTGTTTTCCTTCTGATCTATTTACATACTCTTGTAGGTCTCCTGTCTGGGCTTCTCTAAACCTTGTTTCAACATTGCATTGTACTTGCTTATTCATCTATTTTCTTGATATGAAAGTGAACTTCCTAAAGACAGAAAACTAGATCTTACAGTCTTGTTATCTCCAGTGTTAATATCTATATTAGTGTTCAGAACAAAATGACTGCTGAATAAATTAGTGAATACATCTTTAGTGCTTTTCTAAGATGCCATAGTTGGTCTTCTTTTCTACTTCAGAGAAATCATACTCTTTTAAAATTTTTAAAAAATATTTTATTATTTTTATTTTGTGTATGTGTGTAATGCCTGCATGTAGGTAAGTGCACCTGTGTTGTACAATGCCCTCGGAGGACAGAAGAGGCTGTCGGATCTCCTGGAACTGGAGTTACAGTTGTTAGCTGCCATGTGGATGCTGAGATCAAACCTGGGTCTTCTGCAAGAACAGTGAGTGTTCTTAACTGCTGAGTCATCTCTCCAGCCCCGAAATCATACATTTTCATTTTAAGTTATATGTAGGTTTTCAGATTTATTTGAAGATCTAAACTGCTGTTCTTTCTGGAATTCAAGCACTAAAATTTTAATTGTCACTAGACACCTATAGATTTTATCAACACCTCAAACCCAAATAAAAATGATTCCTCCTGTATCTATGAATCAGCTTTCTCCCACAAAATTATTTTACTTCTGGTTAATGATACCACTATTTGGGAAAATCTTTACATCAGGGTAACATCAGTAAAAATGGCAGAGTAGGAGCTCTGGGACTTCCTCTACAAGATGATTAATGAGCTGACAAATACTGTCAGTACCAATTTTTATAAGTTCTGGAATCTGGTCTGTAGACACTGGTCTCTGGAATTTGGCAAACAAAGCATCAGGGAAAGGCTTTTGTAGTGAAGGGAATGCTGTGGCATTCTAAGTTCTTCAATGACTGTGGTCATTTTAGGACAATGGCTGCCTACCATTCTCCATACCTATACACCAGAGAGAATAAAATAGAATTCATCCTTAAAGAATTGTGATTGTTGGGCTTCAACTTGTTTGTCAATTGCCTAAAGAGCTGGCACAATGGCTTGCCTTAGGTTCATCAGACCTAGAACATTCCAGGGATAGTGTGCCCTCTTGAGTAGCTTTCACCTAAATCATTTGTCTTAAGCAGCAATTTGAAAAAAGGACAACTGGGACAAGAAAAATCAGTAAGCCTGAGAAGGAAGGTTATTGAAAAGACTATACATGGAAAAATAAGGGATTTAAAAGCTCCCATGTGTTCTTGGGAATCAGGACCACACATGAGGTCAGTGCTGAATACATTGCTGAGTAAAGGCTAGAAAAGACCCCCGAGTCTTTACATCCATCCAACTGACCGAAAAGTTCTAAGCACATAGTAGGTAAACCTAAGACATAAATGTAAACAGTTTGGCTAAGTATTAAAAGGAATACATACAGCTGTGGGAATAACTTTTACCTAACTTTGTAACCAAAATTAATCTTAGTTTTGAAACCATTTAACACTCAGCATAAACAAGCCTATTAGGCCTTGGGCCCTTCTTGTAACCTCAACATACAGCTTTAGTCCTTCATGACCCTTCCTTGCCCTTAACCCATAATAATGTCAGTATGGGAAAATCCTTCTCTGATTCTTCATTCCTTCCCCACTTCATGTTAGATGAGCAGCTTCAATAAAGAGAGAGAATAAGGCCTTTGTCTGAGAGCAGAGTTCTCGGAGAAATCTCAAAAAACAAATTCTCAACATATCGGGTCCCACCCTTTGTTTTAATGGATATTAAGAGTCGAGCTTATTTGTTTAGGCACTGCCATAATGTGGCATCACATAGACACAGACAACCTGTAAAAAAGGGGATTTCCAGCCCCCTTTTCTTTTGGTTCTGGATGTCTAAACAATGTCAAAATACTAACTATGAAACAGACTTCAGTAGCCACATAACTAAGAATATAGACTTCACCAAAAATATCAAACAGTTCCTTGAAGATGAAGACAGACATTAAGACAGTCCTACAAAGTAAAAACTAAAAGAGTTCATCATTACTAGCCTTGTGCTATAAACAATGTAAAAGGAAGTCCAGTCTTCTAGACTGAATTCAAAGGATACATCTAAGTTTATGTTACACACAAAATGCTTACTTTAGATCCAAATAAGTTTAGATCTAAAAAATCCAAAATAAGTTTGAAAATAAAAGGATGAAGAAAGATTTTCTGTAAAAAAAAAAAAATAAAG